GCTGCTTTTAATTTATTGTTTCATCAGAATTTATGTAAAAATGAAATATTGTTTCGATGGTCAGCATGAAACTTGAAGTTGGCTGTGCCAAGGGACAACGAAATCTGTTGGCTAGAGGGGTACCCAGTGGCTGACATCTTTTTAATCTTTCAAAAAACTGTAGATCAATTTTCTCAACAAGAGTTTTAGATGTTAAAAATATTTGGTTGTATTATATTAGTTGAGTTTTAGATGTTAAAAAACATTGGTTGTATTATATTTGGTTTCATCCATTAATCCTTTAGTGGAATAAAAATTTTGTGATAAGTTAGGTACGAAATTTTTGTTTCTCATGTCTGTGGCTTTGTGAATTGCATAGATTGATAAATGGAAGTCAAAGTCTGATGCAGCAGTGGTGACAATGAGGTCGGAAGTCACATTTGAGACCACATGCCTGGCCCAAGAGATCTATGATATCAATAACGTATTGCTTGCCTTGCTGGTAAATGCAAAAGTTCCTCCCCCTCATAAAAGTTAATTATTAATTAATCTGTAATCCTCAGCAAGCACATGGATTTGTGATCCAAAATTGCTATGAAAACTTAAATAGTTGCATCGATTTTCCTAGATGAATTTGTCATAGTTTTGACCATAGTTCCTCTTCTATCTAACTAGCAAGCGTGATGAATTTGTTGCTAATCCGAGCACTTCAGCATTTGTATATCGAAATAAACAAAAAATATATATATGGAAGTATAGTTGTGAGGTAGGAGTAACTTCAGTGATGACAAAGATGTATCAGGTGCAAGGTTAGCTTGTTCCCGAAAGATGACAAAGATGTTAGTTGCCATTGGACCTCACCGGTGGCCCGCAACATGATCCTGATGCTTCTTGCACAGATCATGCCAGACAAGTGCTATCTTTTGAAGGAGTCGTACAATAGCTTAAAGGTTAAAAAAAGACTGCATTTTGGAGTATTCCGTCAGAGACTGATTCAATCCTACTTCGAGAATGTTAGTCTCATGCACCAGTGGCATTAGGAGGTCACCAGAGGGAGGTCGCCGGGGTGTGTGTGTGTGTGGGGGAGAGAGAGTCTGTCGCCGGGCGCTGGAGAGAGGGCGGGGCGAGGAGAGCGTGGGAGGGAGAGAGCGGGGCGTGGAGACGGGTGATTGACGCGAAAGTGTTTTATGAGGCGACTGCTAATGAGTGTTTCTGAAAAAAGAGTCATTACAAATTTATGCCGGTCAAGTTTTCTTGCTTAACTAAATTTATAAAAAAAATAGTAATATTTTTTGTATTCCAAATAAGTTTACTATAAAAATATATTTAGTGACTTATTTAATGATACTAATAATGCATCATAAATATTAATTTTTTTTCTTATATATACTGATTCAGAGTTGAAAAATGTTTGATTTCTCGAGAAGAGAACGACACTTTTTATGAGACGGATGTAGTAATATTTAAGGAATTAGTAAAATTTAATGTTAGCTTTGTGTTCTTCATCTTGCAAGCGGTTGATGATTAACAGGCAAAGAGTGTTCATACGCCGTCTTATTTCTAAACTTGTTCATTGAGGAAAATACCCATTCAGCACTAGCACTTGCTATTGAAGGACTAGCATCAGTTTGAGAGGTTCATAAACATTCTCCGGGTTGCACATACCACTCGTGCAGCTTGGAGTAAGTATCATGTGAGGTTGTGAGCCCGAGATAAGAGAGAGGTGCATGAACATAGATCCAAGCCATCCTCGTATGACGGCTGATAATCCGGACTAGACCTCTTTGTGCACTGAACACACATGAAGCGAACAAGTTGAGAGCTCAAGGACAGAGCGAAGGAGTACACGGCATTTTTGGCATACAGATCATGTGCTTATTATTTGGATAGAAGTATGAATGTCTACTTGATGAAATTGATGGGAAATTATAAGAGCATCAAGGGAGCTTGAACTATATCTTAGAATTACTTGAGTGATGTGAAGTTCCTCTAAATTCATTAGGTGTGCTTATTTATTTCATAACTATCTATATTGATTTATTAGAGTTTAGATCTCATGCCATGACTCTTGCCAACAGAAGAATAATGGTAATTGGCTGTTGTGAGAGTTTTCAGAAAGTTCATATTTTTTCTTGGTCATTGTGTTCTTTAGCTTCCACTACTTTAGCTCAAGAAACATGATCCACCTTCTAACCACTTCTGGATGAATGCAAGGTCTGGTTTAGTCTGTTTGGATGTCATCAACCAGACACGGAGACAAATGCTTAGTAAGATTGATCTTTGCATTTCATTATTTGTATGTACAGGCAATGGATTCTCTCCATGCTCTATATGTACAATTAGAGATTCCTGTTTTGTACCATGTTAAAGTAGGCTTAGGTTTGAACCTATGTGATACTTTGCAGATCTTGTCAATGTGTTTGAGGTCTTCTTTCCAAAACTTCTGTTATATCCTAATCCTTTTGATCCATTAAATGCAGATGCGGTTTCGTTGATGATGTGTAATCGCCCTTCTTTGTGTGCATCAAACTTACAAAAAAAACATTGGCTCCAGTTTCCAATCTGGGTTAAAGCACATGGCGTGGTTATATGTACATTTCTCAAGTAGATGGCCACGCCTTCCTGATTAGTTATTTTAGCAAATCATATGCTTTGATCCCTGTAATTTTGTTGCTGGATCATGTACTTTGATCCCTGTAATTTTGTTGCTGAATCATGTGCTTCAATCCCTGAACTTTGTTGTTCAACCATTCTTTGATCAGCATATCACTCTGAAAAAAAAGAAGCCAACATGCAATTCATATGTGGGGACAGTGAAATAGAGGATAGTTAGCATGCGAGATATAGGTTAATTAATTGTTTACCGGATGGGATGGGCTAGGAACTTTGCTTCTTGGATTAAATGTCACTTTAATGTTTGTATTTAATTTCACAGTATTGTTATCTTAACGTGCGATCCGTGTGTTTTTAGTATAAAAGTTTAGTTATCCCGTAGCAACGCATGGGCAAAAGATCATCTCTTTGCTATCTAGCATCGAAAGATCACCACGTTATTGGTTTCTACCACTTCCGTGACCTTTGCTAATGTTCCGTTCGAGTCGTCTTCTTCGGAATGTCTTCCCTCGTGTAACTCAACCTCGCAGCTCCCGGTCGACGAGGTCGACGTAAACGGGGTCCTCGAGGACTTGGAGAGCGCGGCGAGGCTGCTGGTGGAGCGCTAGGACTGGAAGACACTGCTGGAGAACGACCAGCTGTGCGCCGAGGTGTGCTACGGCGGCACGTTCTAGGGCAGGAGCGAGGGGCCCATCACCTTCTCCTCGACCTACAAGTACTACCCAACTCCGACGCCTACTATGGCTGTGCCACCGCTGCCGGGGGCCACGGCGTCCGTAACAAGCGGCGTGCGCTAACGTGGTGCGACCGCATCCTATGACGCGGTGCAGGGCTTAGGCAGACCCGGTACTGCCACTGCGAGCCCCTGCTGTCGGACCACCGCGCCGTCTTCACGGTGGAGGTGGACGCGCCTAGGAACCTCAACTCGCTCAGGAGCTTCTCCATGTCCAAGAGGTTCGACAAGGTTGGCAGGAGCCCTACCGACCACCTGCTCCGCGCAAGGACGACGTCAACAAAGCCAGTTGCCTCTGAGTCAAGCGGGAGCATGAGCGTAGAAACCACATGGGAAGATAAAACACGGGTGGTTAAACAGCGCCGGCGGCAACACACCTTGCTGGATCCAGCCATGGTGACGATACGTTGGGCGCGGCGGCGGCGGTGTGTGAGCAGCCGATGTGAAGGTACCGGCGCCCCCGTCTCCGCCACCATCCTCACGCGCGCCGGTGTTGGTGCCGCGCCAGGCCACCGAGAGCGGGACCGGCGCCCACGCCTCCGCCGACGCCGTCATCTCGGCCGGTGAGGGACCGTGTGAGTTCGGCAAGCACACGGGGCAGTGCTGGGCACACTGCCGCTGTCGTTCTCTGGTGGGGTCATGGCCGAACTCGACTATGGGGGCACCGCGTCGGGTGGGCCTCGCGCTCGACGACCCTTGACCGCGTCGAGTGCGAGGCTAGGAGCTGCGAGGTTGAGTTAGACGAGGGAAGAGCTTCGGAAGAAGACGACTCGATTAACAGAGATGCACGGAACGTTAGCAAAGGTCACGGAATGGTAGAAACCAATAACGTGGTGACCTCTCGGTGCCAGATTGCAAAGATGTGATCTTTTTAATGATAGATTGCTAAAGTTAACGTCTTTTAATGGTACCCAGCCACTTTTCCCAAACTAATTTGCGGCGCGGATGCGTAGGCGTAACGAGGGACGACGACGCGAGGCCGAGGCGGCACACGGCAGCGGCCTACGAGGTGGACTGGAAGACGGCGACGGTGAGATCTGAGCATCAACTGTCGTCGCTCGTCAGACAGACTCATAAAAAAGCACGCTTGGTGCTCAAAATCATCGACAGAGCACGAGACATTGCGCCTAAATTCCGAATCACGGCTACCTACTCAACGAGGTTAATAGCAACATTGTTAATAACAACATTATAGACCCAACAAGAATACTATGAGTAAAACTGCACATGTTGCCTTTATTGAGCTAGGTTGCAGTCACACAAAGTAGTAACAGACAGGTACTGTGAAACACGAAACATCAATTCAGCGAATTGCATTGTTCTTTGAACAATGGCGGTCACGAATTCAATTACACGTCCTTATAAAAAAAACAATTACACGTGGGTAATAAAACTTTAAAACTAAAAAACATAAGCAGTAACTATTGTGTCAAATCCTGAAGCGAGAAGTCTCCCGAGCTCGCCATGAAAGCAGCTCAAGACCTCGAGCAATCGAGCATCCCAATGGAACTCGGCTAACTATTGCAAAGAACTCAAATTGAATTGCAGGTAACCTAATAGTACCACTACATATTTCTAATGGGTTAAGATCGCCATGTTGGAACTTCACAAGATCAGCACTGCCTGTGACCTATCCGCCGAAGGTTCCGTAGTCCGTTTGCCCAGTTGGCAGAAATCACGTCAGGTCCCGGACAGCAGCCTCGGAGATTTTCCAAGATCCATCATTCTGCCTCCTCAATACGTACTGAACTTCGTATGTGCTGCGATTATAACCATACAGATACAATTACCATGTTTACGTCGTAGAGCAGGACATGAAAGAATAATCAACAGCAATGACATCTACTGAAAATACCTGTAATAACTGGGTTTCTTGGGCTGGGAATCATCAACAAGCTCAGCCGCTTCCTCAAGCACAGCATCAATTTCTGCTGCTTCACCAGTACCGACTTCATCCAAGATTATCTCAGCTCGAACAACATTAAGATTCAGCAGCACAAATCTCCAATAGCAGGACTGGTCCTTTGCTAACAACGCCAAGTCTTGCCACTGTTCCAAAAGATTGCATTTGATTACGCATAAAATAAATAAAGCTAAAGCAATAGCACATGCAAATAGATAACCGACACATAAACACACCTTAGAGAGCATTGAACCATCAAGAATCTCTGGTAGCATGTCAGTTTGATAGTCAGGGCCAAGAGCTTCAGATTTTATGTCTTGCCACTGTTTTACAAGTGCTTCTGCTTCTTGAATATCCATCTTTTGCTTACAAACTGCAGCAGTGATATCATTAGCTGCTGGGTGCTTATCACTTGCGCCGCTATTTGAATTAAGCCTATCACTCAGCCAAAGCAATTTTGACAAATTTTCAAAATGCTTCCTGACACCACTGGTGATAAAAGAACCTTCTGATGCAGACGCTTCATTCAAGGACGACACGGATGCAGACTCTCTACTTGGGTTCGTGTATCTCGCATGCCCAAACTGAAACTTGACCAATTTTAATGTGCTAAATACAACAAAGCCTAGGAGTGCACTATAGGCAAGCTTTCCTATAACATCTCCACTTAGTCCCCATAATTCCAATGTTCTGAGATGGGATCCAGGATTGCGTTTCAGGGGAACAGATGCTGTCCCTGAACCATTTACTTGCCTATCCATTGATGATTGGAGCCCCAAGTTGGCAGGTGCAAGTTGCTTAACAGCCTCCCCCAGATGGCTGTTTGGACTCAATCTTGGGGTCTGCTCTGCTGAAGTTCTGTTGCATGCTGAGGCACTAGAAGATGGCTGAGAGCTCAAAAGGACTGATCTTGGGGATCCCAGTTTCTGCTTGGATGTGTTAAGGACGCGCTTAGGAGCTCCAAAAAAGTTAGCCTGCCATAAGAGAATAAGAGAACTAAATTATTTCACAAAAGATGTTGTGGGGGATGTGATTACTAAAAGTAGCATTGTACAAACCAAAGATGGCGGACAATCTTTCGTATCTGCAAAATGAGAAAGGGCCACATCCTTCAGCCACAGTTCCTGGTAAAAAAAAGCTTTCTGCCATGAGATATATGAGCAAGTAATGTAGAATATAGCTTATTTGCTATAATTGAACAGATGCAACATACCAGTGATTGGTTGACAGTAAACTTGTCACTGCTGTCCTTCTTTTTATCTAACCCATAATTCTTCGAATTTGAACTTCCAGTACTTTGAAGCTGCTGAAGCTTTTCAAACACTGTGGTGCCAGTTTCCTGAGAGCTAATCATTAGTCCTAGTAATGCAAGGAACTAAAACTAATAAATCATTCAAGTTGAGATAATAAGTTTATAACCTCTCCAAGAAGAAATGAGCAAAAAGATTCCTCAAATTTTAGGTCTGTGCTCTCAGATGCAACTAAACATTCACAGATGGTTTTAGCTTTCTTGATCTGCACAGAGGTAAAACAAATTAAAAACAATGCCAAAAAAAGATCAGCAACTTTTACAGGCTGCCAAGTGGGTGATAAAAAGAGGGTACCAACTCAGTCTGGCGGGTTGTAAATCCAAATGCAAGGTGAGCAAGCATCGCCATGTAGAAGCAGTTGAAGTCAACTACAACCCGCTGGCTCTGGGACTCCAATGATCTTTTATTTTTTACGAGTTGTAGCCAAAGTGTCCCAAGAAAGAAGATCCACAATTTCAGTGGCTAATAGTTTGTCCATTGCTTGACCCAAGAAACAAGGCCAGTCATGGACTCTACAAGATGATTCAACATCAAGGCCCTGTCTAAGCAGTTCACAGAGAGCTGCAATAGCACCTTGCCTGCGTTCAGAATTTTCAGGTGTCTGAGGCAAGCTTAGAAGCTCCAAAGTGCAAGCAGGTGCAAGCTCTTCAAGTGATTCTTCAATCTGGATCACCAATGAAATAAGTTATGGCATGATTTTGTATTTACTATTTAGAAGAACTTGTTCATGTAGAAGTAATAACATCATACCTGTTCAAGAAGGGGCATCTTCTCCAAAGATGGTTTTCTCCTCAAAAGATATTGAGCGCGTGCCAGAGCCTCAAATCCAAGGGACACTTTACTCTTTTCAAAGCTGGCTTTTGCTATAGAGCACTACAACGAAATCATGAAACCATCTAAATGTGAGAGGGGTTCCCAAACATTTCATCCAGCAGCTCTTAAATAAAATATGGAAAAGGATTCTTATGCTATTCTTACTTCTGCTAATGCCATTGCAAGAAGCACATCATGAACATAAGGTTTAGAATCAGGGCGTCGTAGAGCCGCCTGACCAATTTCCAAAATAAGCTTCTCTTCTCCAACCTGAAAAATACTGCAACATCATACATGGATGAAGAGCAAATAGACCAGTATTGCAGACTTTTCAGTACACAATGGTAAGCCAAATATGCATGTTTAACTTTGACATCCTTCGTGTTTGGGTTTTCAAAGCTCACAGTGCATTTCAGCATGGAAAATTTTCAATAGCGACAATTTCGGCATTTTACACTGCCTTGCCTGATGTCCTGATCTGAAGAAAGGACATAAGTTATTATTATAAACGCAGCACAAAATGATCCTAAAGATACCTGGGTATGCCCTTTCGCGACTATTTCAGAGCCTATGGACATTAAGTTACAGATTCTGCTCTATTCTTATTAAGTTATATTACATAATTTGAAGTCTTAAATCCAAGACCTAACATGTGAATTGTATATTACTAAGAAAAAAAGACAGATGTAAAATAAAGAACAAACACAGACGGTACTCCACAAAATATATATCACTTTAGTGGTCGCTGTAACTACAAACTCACTGAACATATAGCCAATTAAAGTGAAAAGTCTCAACCAAACAAAACCAGCATTAACTTGTTAGTGGTGTGACTGGTTCCAACAGACATTTTGATGAGAAATGTCCGTGTTATGCATTACCTCCTGCAAGACGCACAGAGCAGCAGGCAACCAGCTCCAAGGTATATGAAGAGAGGACCTAGGTGGAACCTTCTCCTTTATGTTTCCTGCGTAATCTTGTTCGAACAGAAGTTTATCTCTGACATCTACTAGCAGAGCCTGACAAAAGGCAGCACGCAAATGATAAACGTCGGGATTATTGCATCCCCTCACAAAACAAAACATACATAAATAGATATAGTTGCAGAAACCAATTAGGAACCTGTCTGAAAGTGGACACCTCAGCTGTGTATCCATCTTCTATCCCAGCAATTTTCAACTCCATTGCAGCCTTCACGATCTCATCTTTCTCAGCCTTCTCTGTAACGCCTAGTATCTACACGGTCATTGTTAAACTTAAACATGTCAACCAACAAGTGAAAATAGACAAATAGTCCAATCAATTGTGAACTGATCAGACGAAATTTCAGAACGCGTTCACACATATTTTTTACTCAAAAATGAGGGAAGCGCATAAAATTACAGATTTGTACAATGAATTTGACTTGTTATAGGAAAATGCTGATTCAATCTGCAACCGCCTAGACAATTAATTGACAGGGGGCCGCGGAAAAACGAACCGAATCAGATCAGGCGGCGATCAGAGCAACAGAAGGTGAGCGTCATTTCGAAATTGCAGTTGACTCGAACCATTCACCTGATAGCACGTGACGGGGATCTCCACCATTGGTGCAGCGGGATAAGCCTCCTGCCTGCCGCCCTCCGCCGCCACCGGCGCGGCCTCGGCCACCCTGGCACGCAGGGCCGGCCCTCGCCCACCGCCGGAAAGTCGTCCACCCTCCGCCAAGGAGGACGCATTGCCGTTCCTTACCCCCGCACGCCGCGTCGAGACCGCCGGGTGAAGCGCCGCCGCGGCCGCGGAGGCCACAGTCGGCATCACCATGGCCGGGCTCTAGAGAACCAACCCTAGCCAGAGGCCTCCATGTGAGGGGGGAGCTTTTGCGGGGTGTCGGGGTTTTTGCGGGGGTGGGAATAAAGCAGGGGGCGGAAGGGAGAAAGCGCCAGTGATTGAAGAGGGGGAGGGAGAAGGAGGAGGAGGAGGAGGCGTCGTGAAGGCGAAGCCGGATGCCGGAGGGATGGAGGGGGACCGGTGGATCGTGCTCTCTCCGTGAACTTGGTCCTTGCGCGCTTTGTACACGTGGCATGGTAGTTCGAGAGAGTTCAGGTGCTGACAGTGACATGCAGCCAGTATTTTTTTTTCTCTTTCTCACACTTTGGCTATCCAAGCAATTTGATTTTTTAAAAATGTTTTATATATAGTTTTGAATTACAGTACATATGTTTGATACGGGCATTTTGGAAGGTAAGTTCTGGTTCATACTTCATGGCCCAGTAAATATAGAACAGCTCTAACATAGCAAGTACTGAACTGTCCTGGATCCACAGAAAGAAACAAGTTAGTAGGATGCATACCAAAAATGTCCTTTTCTCTGTGTCGAGGATCACTTAGATTTTGTGATTGTTTTCCCATAAAAAACGAAAGGTCCACCTCGCTCCCAAAGCCAGAATTTCGGAAAGAGCGTTACTTCCAAACGAACAGGCCGAACGGGCCGCTCGCGATCCGTTTCCCCGGCACTTTCATTTACTGGGCCGGGCCGAATTCTGCTCCTCAAAAGACGACTTGGAAAAAAAAAGAGAAAAAAGTCCACATTACCTCCGTCAACCTGCATGAAAGTCTATTTTTCCTCCTCGAACTTCAAAACCAGGCAAAACACCCCCTCAACTTTTTAAAACCATTCATCTTGCCTCCCTGACCCTGTTATAAGCAGTTTTAAAAGCGGTTTTATCTTTTTCTTTTTTATTTATTTCGGTTGAATCTTTAAAAAATCATAGTAAATCATAAAAAAAATCATAAAATGGAAAAATTAATTTTGTTGGACTCCATATGAGTAGATCTATAGAGTAAACATATAATATGGTATGCTTTAGTATAAAGTTTTTGCTGTAGCTTTAAATCTATGCTTTTTTGTAATTAAATAGAATAATTCATAGTTGCAGTTTCTATGGTCTAATTGTGGTGAAATTTTTATAGTGGGCTAATTATTGTATGCTTAAACTATAGTAAAAATTTCATACTCATTGGATCATGTATACCTTAGTTATAGATTTTATTTAGATTTATGCTTGTTAAATATAAATAAATATATAACTAAGCTATATATGATCTAATGAGTATGAAATTTTTACTACAGTTCAATCATATAATAATTAGTCCATCATAAAAATTTCATCATAATTAAAACATAGAAACTACAGCTATGAATTATTCCAATTAATTACAGATGAGGAAAAATGAACGGTTTTAAAACATAGAAACATAGAAAGATTCAGTCAAAATAAATAAAAAAGAAAAAGATAAAACCGTTTTTAAAATTTCTTATAACCAGGTCATAAAATGAACGGTTTTAAAAGTTGAGGAAGAGTTTTGCTCGGTTTTAAAGTTGACGAATGAAAATCATACTTTCGCTAAAATTGAGAGGTAACGTGGACTTAAAAAAAAATTGAGAGGTAACGTGGACTTAAAAAAAAAATCCGCCCACTCGCCAACAAATCTCGCCCGCGCGGTACAGAACTGGTGGCGCACTGTCCGTTGGCATCTTCCAGAAGATTCCTCTCCTCCCCCACGCGCTGCCTCCGCTCCGCTCATGGCGTCCGCGCCGAGCACCACGGCGCCCACCCTCGCGCCCACTCTCCGCACGCCGGTCTCCTCGGGCCCCCGCAGGGCCCCCCTCCCGGCCGCGCTCCGCCTCTCGCGCGCTCAGCCCGGGCCGGCCGGATGCCGCGCGGCGCCAGGTCGGCTCGCTCGCCCTCGCGCGCGCGTCCGGTGCGGCGCGGCGGCCAGGTTCATTGGACAGGACGAGTTCCCCGCGGAGGTGCTGGAGTCAGAGCTGCCCGTGCTCGTGGACTTCGTCGCCGACTGGTGCGGGCCGTGCCGCCTCATCGCGCCCGTCGTCGATTGGGCCTCCGAGGTATTAGGTTACTCTGCTGCTTGTTGGTGGATGCTTATCCATGTGTTTTGTTCGTCTGTGCTGGTGTCATGTCGTACTCTGATAATGACGGATTAAGGTAATTTGGTAACATCGACGACGCTAATAGAAGCCAAAGTATCAGATAAAGTAAGGAACAGCCTTTTAAGTGGGGCTTGAGACAACAACTGAGAAAAGTGAAAATACTGTACTTTGTCCATAGTCCCGAGTTTGTGATTTGAGTTGACATCAGTATACAATCCAAGTCCAGTTTTTGTTGTGCTGCAATTCGGTCGCCAAAAGGCTTTAGAAAGGGAGCACAGTGTTCATCAGGTGTGGAACCTATGAGGAACACTTTTTTTGACGAAGGTAAAATTGGCTTTTATAAAGCATATATAGAGTATTACAGGGGAAAACACAAGAAGAAAGAAAAACAGGCATGTCGCTGGGGAATACTGGAACAGCATGTTTGATTCAAGGCAAGTGATACAAACCTGAAGGACCTGATCCATTTTTTTCGATCAAGTTCAGGGGGGAGTGCTGCCCACCTACTATATTGAACGAAGGAGCTGAAAGCTCACACAATTACAGCATACTCCCGGCATACCGGAAGGTGTGCAGTTTTGGAAGAGGAGGAGGGGGGAGGGAAGCAGAAATGGTTAGTCACAGATTGTTACAGCAGGATCTAAGATGATCTACCCAGGCAATTACCAAAGCCTTGTCCTCTTTGTAGCGACAAGCCTATTTTCCAGCGTCCTTGATCGCCGCTTGCAGCGCACCTGCCGTGGTGATGTCCTCAGCTTCGAAGATCAGGGCGTTTCAGGCTTTCCAAATGTGCCAGAGGATGATGAGCATCATGTCCATGCGGACCTTTTGCAGGGAGGTTGATGGTACGCCCAATTGTCCATGGCAGCTTTTGATCACCGTCAAGCAAATTGATATTGAGTTGATCCCACACTCTCACTGCCCTGGGGCAAACAACAAAGATGTGGTCTCCTGTTTCCAAGATGCCGTGGCAGCTGGGGCAGAAGGAGTCTTCCAGCGCCTTGATGTTTTTCCAGAACAAGTTGGCCCAGGAATTGATTCTGTCGAAGTGCACAAGCCAACCGAAGAATTTTAGTTTCCCTGGAAGTCTGCACCCCCAGATGAGCTGTGGCCCAGGAAGGATGGCATCATTTGCATGAAGAGCTCTGTAGGCATCCCAGGAGGAGAATGGCTGCAGAAGGGGGGTGTCAGAGTTGTCGTTAAGAGTGAACGTGGACAAGGCAGAGCGGGAGGATCAGCAGTTCTGTACCAGCTTGATTGGTGAGGCGGGGGCGGAGAATGGTCTCGAGGCCCAGGGTTGGCCCAGGGTAATGGCGTCCCTGATGCTGCAGGAGGGCCTGCGACAGTGAGAGAAGAGAGCTGGGAAGGTGGACGCCATGATTGGATCATTTCCTAAATTCAAGAATTGTATTTAATAGTCTTCTGTAGAAGCTATTAGTTAAATAATTAATGTGCATAGAAACCATTGGTTAACTAAACTCTAATCATTGGCAGCTCTTAGCACTTTAGCAGAATGTGATGCTTTAAACATGTGCGTAAGGGAACACTATTGCTTGCTTCTAATCAGAATTATCAGCTTTGATAAAGTCTAATCTGGTGACACAGGAATACAATGGGCGGTTAAAAATTGTCAAGATTGATCATGATGCCAATCCACAGCTGATTGAAGAGTATAAGGTTTTTGGTCTCCCGACTTTGATTCTCTTCAAGAATGGCCAAGAGGTGCCAGGTAGCCGATATGAAGGGGCAATGACAAAAGATAAGTTCAAGCAATACCTGGAACCTCTCTTGACTACAACAGTTGCTTAAGATCATTACCTGCAGCTTGAGCACTGAGGATGCCAACGAAATTGGCTTACCCTACGCATTGGGAATGTTGAAGAGTTTTTCCTTGCATGAGCGTCATGTTTAGTTTGTAATTAACTATGCTGCAGGATCATGTTTGACTGTATGATTGTCATTTGCGTATATTTTTTTTTGCGAAAGTCATTTGCGTATATTTGGTACAGTATACATGAAGGGTTGTGATGAGATATGCCAACACTAATTTTAATACAAGCAAGTTCGTTTTCGATATCTTTGTGGCATACAATGGTTTGTTGTTTCCAAAATTAGATGACTGATACAAATGGTCAATCTGCACTGTAAGTTTTGAAATACCCATGCTGTATTCTTGGTCAAATATCCATTGTTCTGTTTACCGCTTAGCGTTTAGGATAACACTGAAGTATCCCTTGGCCTCTGAGGTTAGCCAAAATATCAAACGCATCATATGAACTGAAATACAGAACTACCTTCTTTCCATAGCTTGATGCATTCAACCAAAATAGTACAGAACTAGCTTCCATTCCATCAGACCAAAGTTCACCTGATACAAGCTCGGTTTCTGTCAGACATGGACTGAAACCATGAAGACCCGGGCAGCTTCAGGATTTCTGCTCCCATGAGCCCTCTCACCCTTCTTGCGCCGTCCCAATCGTGCTGGCCGGCGAGCGTGTTGCATAGCAACATGTATGTCGACGGGTCATCGTTCTCGAGCGCAAGCGCATGCTCTGTAGCCCTCCTGCCAACAGCCTCGTTGCCATGACGGTGACAGGCACCAAGCAAGGTCTGCCAGACCAGAACGCCAGGTTGGAACGGCATCCTTGATATCAGCTCTTCAGCCTCCTGGATATGGCCTGCTTTGCCAAGGAGATCGACCATGCAGGCGTAGTGGTCCTCGCCGGGCTGAATGCCAAACTTGTCCTCCATGGCATTGAAGTAAATCCAACCTTCGTCCACGAACCCACCTTGGCTGCAAGCATAGAGAACGCAGATCAAAGTGACGCGGTTGGGAGCTACACCCCTCAGCAGCATGTCGTCGAACACCTCCACAGCTTCCCGAGCTCGCCCGTTGTGCGCGAAACCCATGATCATCGCCGTCCAGGAGATAACAGGCTGCTGCTGCATCGACTGGAACACCTTGTGAGCACAGGCCACTGACCCGCATTTTGCATACATGTCGATGAGCGCATTGTTGACGCCAATGTCGGAGTCGTCTCCCAGCTTGATCACATACCCGTGAACTTTCCTTCCTTCGTCAAGGTCGGTGAGGCTTGCGCAGACATTAGCCGACGTTGCAAATGTGTAGTTGTTGGGCATGACTCCGTCCAGCATCATCTGACTGAGAATGCCAATCGCCTTGGCAGGCTCACCGCAGTGTAGGCAGCCAGTGGCCATCCCTGTCCACGACACAACATCTTTGCCGCGGATCTCGGCGAACGCCATGGTGCCATCTGCTAGGCATCTGCTCTTCATATACATCTCCACCAAGGAGTTCCCCACATACACATCATCGCCAAAGCCACTCTTGACGACCTGGGCGTGAACTTGCAGACCGCTCGCCAAGCTCGCGCTAGCCGCCAGTCCAGAAAGGACTGTGCTGAACGAGAACCCGTCGGCGCCAACAGCTTCCCTGGCCATCCTTCGCCACAGGATCCAACCCTGCACGCTCCAGTGGCGCGCGAACCCCGCGAGCAGCGTGTTCCAAGAGACGATGTCCCGGATGGAAGAGCCGTCGAACAGCCGCACCGCGTCCTCGAGCTGACCGTGACGGGCCATGGCAGCGCGAGGAACGCGTTCGTCAGGAAGACGCTGGAGCCGAAGCCAAGCCGCACCGAGAGCGCGTAGAGCTGCGGCGCGCACCCGGCGCCTGCGGGTGCGAGCGAGCTCGCGCTGAGCGCGCTCGCCAGTGCGAACTCGTTGGGCGGGCACCCGGCGAGGCGCATCCGGCGGAATAGCGCGAGCGCGTCGCGGGGCCGGCCCCCCCCTGCGTGAGCCCCGCGATGGCGGCGGACCACGAGACGGCGTTGCGGCGGGGCATTTCGTCGAGCACACGGAGGCCCCGGCGGTGGAGGCGGCATTTGAAGTAGGCGATGAGGAGGTGGTTGTGGAGGAAGACGTGAGGAGGTGGTTGTGGAGGAAGACGTGGAACGTGAGGAGGCCCGGCTTGAGCAGCGCCGCGTGGAGGGCCGCGGCGAGGCGCGGGTCGGCGGTGGCGGCGCTGCGCTGGAGGAGCGCCGCATAGGGGTAGGAAAGGAGGTGCTGTTGCTGCTGCTGGTGTGAGGAGGTTGCAGCAGTGAAGGCGCGGGGTTCCACGGTGGCGGCAAGGGGAGGACGCCGCACGGCAGCTGGTGGGCGCGGGCGCGGGCGCAGCGGCATTGCGGCCGCACCGGCTCCGTTGTGCCAAGACAGGGCACAAACCCGGCGCAGCCGGGCTTTGGTATTTCGTGTCCCAAATAAGTGGGATTTGGTACAGTAGTTTCGCATGAAAAAATCAATACCCTCGCTGATTTCACATGAGACCACCTTGAACGTAGGAATTTTGTAGAAATTGTACAGAAATATTACATGATCAATTCATTTTCACAGGAGAAAAACAGAGGAAACAGTAAGTTTTCCTCTATTCCAAAGTGTGGACTGAAAGATTTCAACTTGGTGAATGAATGGGCGTTACCTAGGAACATTGACTCAACGAAACAAAGCTACTTTCAAAAAAAAAAAAAGGAATGAAACAAAGCTTGCATTAGAATGAAAACCACCACCAACACAGTTCTTCTGTATTAGCACATTATGGTAAAGGTTCCAGAAAGAAAAGAAAATGGACATATTGCAGAGAGGTTCAGTCATTGACAAAAAGGATGGAACCATTGAGTCGATCCAAAAGTGGATCACGTTCATCTGACAGCAGGCATCTAGAGATTTAGCACATCAAGTGAAGGAACCAAGAATCATCTTACAAGATGCAACTAGACAGCAACAGCTACGTCTACTTTGGGAGCATCTTGTAGTTTCTTCTGTGATTCTTTTATGTACTTCCACCCACGTTTGTTAACCCCGCTGATCCTAGTTGGGGCGTCTGCAGCTTGCACACCTACAAGAGAATCTGATTAGGAGACATGACTTTTTATGAGCTAATAAAAGATGCCTTTTTCACTCCAACTGTAACTCTGAAAGGCATCAACAGTGAATGGTTCAGTATTGTGCTCCCTGACGGTTGAGAGTGACCAGAACACAAACAGCCAAACAGGATATGCTTGAGGGGAAATCAGTCAAAACAACATGAATTTAATCATGATTAGGACACTTCGTCAAACAGCTGGCGAACTAAGAAGCATACATTAGATCATTTTAAACAAAATGCAAAACAAGCTGCTATATGTAAACACGAAAACATGCATATGTCCATTGGATATTCTGAAAGATGTCTTCATATCCTTGTATTATTCAAAAAGAAACTACAGCACAATAACTAAAGATTAGGACACTGGCTGTTGCACACAAACACGTACATAGCATACGTGGACTTACACGCTAAAACCAAATCAATAAAATATTTGAGACTCAGTCACTTGTATGCCTTGATAGATCTCAGAAATTGCAGATAAATATATTATTCAAATGATTAATTCAGGACAAAAACACTAAACTGGCTCGAGAGTAATCCTAGTTTCACACCTCAATTAGTTTTTTTTAAAAAAAATCTTGAACATAACAACAAATTCATTTATCTCTCGCCTCATAAATGAACTCGTGGTCAAGATGTAATACTCTGGATCTGCTTTCTTCTTCTTGAGAGAATAAATAGTTACTGATATTTAGTCAACCATCCAACCCTTCAATTTTGGAAGTCAGACACTCAATAACTTTTGTGTGTAAAACTATATAAACTCTTTTTTAACATTATTATTTGAAAATTCCATCACATGCTGTTTCTACTGATAGGTGCCTTCATACAGTTACAATTTGCTAACCTCCTATATTTTTTCCCTTGATGATGTTGCTGGAGATCGAACCAATGGCCACATTATCCAGCTGCTAGTGTTATTCCTTACAGTTCTGAAAATCACGTCCTAAAAAGTCTTGATAGAAACAATGCTAACCTTCTCCATGCAAATGATCAACTTAAGTGGTATGTTCATCTTCATTAATCGTGTTGAGAAACATGATATTGTCAAATCGTGAGACCAGGCTCACCACCTTGACAAACTCATCTCGGAATTACAATTGTGGTCCATTCAAATCAGTCTGATATGTCGGGCTGAGAATGTATGACACCTTGGAAGGTCTGATTAGTGATTATCTTGGCAAAGGTGTTCTTAAGGTCTGATTCAGTGCACATGTATTGTACTTGATATATATGCTATGCACCATAGTCACTCATTGTAATGTACTGTAGTATATTTAAGATTTAATAACACAAAGTCGATCCTATGCTGTTCAGTCGAGCTGGTTTCATAACCACTATGTGTTGTATTTGTGATAAAACTGATCTGGAAAATATATATGAAGTACTTTCACTAGGTAGTTTGTGACTTAAATTTCTTTTTGCTCAAATGAGCTGAACTAAGATAATACTTTTACTTATTTCTTTTTTTCCTGCTTCTTTACTGGATCCTACTTTGCAGATCAATTTACAGTTTTGTGACAAGAATATTGCTACTTAACAATTTGTTTTTAGTGAGCACGCAAGGACCAGATCAGGAATTTAATCTACAGCTTTGACTTTTACTTGAACAGAAGCTAAATTTTGTCTCTCTTTTCTTTGCGTGTGTTAGGGCAAATGTATAGACCTACGACTGGTACCAAAGAAACAAAGGTCTGCACTGAATTCTTAGAAGGCCCCAGTTGGACCTCCTACTAATTGCAAAAGGTGATCAACATATTACATTGGGAATAATAAAGGATTTTAGGAGATGGCATTTATGTCAGTAGAGTCTTAGAATTGAAATGGTTTGCTGACAATTAAAGATCCTCCTTTGTTTAAGGTTACGTGATCTTTTTTTTATTTGTTTTTGTTCAAGAATATTGTTGGTCAGACTTTTTTTATATTCCCACCAGTTTGAAAATAGTAGGAATATTATTTTCATTGGGACAAGCCTTTGACAAACAGGTTCTTTATTTATACATGATTTTTGTGATACAAAAAGGTGTTATTAGATTCATATTGAATAATATTTACATGAATATGATATTGTATCAAAAAAATAACTGGTTCCTCTAATTTGTAACCCCTTTCCTTTTTTTGACCTCTCACCCAATAATAGGTGTATTAACTTGCTGTTTTTAACACCCAAGCTAATTTTTTGCTAATACTCTATAATGCACTTGTATAATGCCACAAAATGGTCTCGAAAGTTTCATTGGCATTCCTGTATTGTGTATGATTTTTTATATACATGTGTGCCATGCCTACTAGTAACTTAGTAAGGAACAAAGGATGCAGAGAAGGGGGTAAAAATACCAACCTGCTTTGTACCGAACCCCCCACGCCTTTCCATGCCGACCATCCTGCATTGCAAATATCAGGACAAAATCAACTGGAATGAAATACAGAGAAAAAAAATCAATGGAAGTGCGCAGGGATAGGGCTCAGGGGACTGGATCACCTTGTACAGGTTGATCTTGGTGATCTGATAGGAGACGTCGCGCCAGGTGGTCTTGGCAACCTTGTATCCGATGCCCCACTCTGGCAGGAACTGCACCACATCGAACAGATTCTTCTTCTTCCTCCTCTTCGCCTCCTTCACCGTAGCCTCGGCCACCACCGCACCCTCCGCCGCCGGTGTGGCAGTGGTACTCAGGGCTCTCTGTGCTGGCAGCGCTGTAAACCCAATGGAGCGCCGAAGCAAGCACATCGCACGCTGCGCCATGGTCATCGGAAACCTATGCAGCACATATAAGGATACGCGTGTCGGTATCGCGCTGATACAGATATTTCGAATACATAGGGTTTGGGTGCTCCGTTTCGCACGGCAGGAACGGAACACCAGGGGTGGCCGTACCTGGTGATGCTCGTCGCCGGCGAAGGTGCTGAGGATGGAGATCTAGGCACCTGGCGTAGGGCGGCCGCCAACCGTCGCCGGCCCCCACAGAGGCAGACAGCGCACGCGACGGGCACGGGAGTATGCCGGGAGAGAGCCCGCCGCCGCCCGCCGGGGAACTAGAGAACAAAAGGCAGTCCACAGGATGTAGGGTACGGCGCACGGGCCACTAACAAAATTGCTGTTACATCCCTCCCTATATGGGCTGAAATTTGAATTTGGGCGAAAACTAGCACATTCACATATCTGGGTCAGCCCGTGACAAACTGGGCCGAGACACAGACACGCGGTGTCTCTGTTCCTTGCCCGCTTAAGCCCTCGCCCTCCTCCTGCCAGTTCTGCTTGCTCCCCACGCCGACCGGGACCCGGCTCAGCCTCTGTATAGCATCACCGCCGCCGCCGCCGCCCACCTCGCGCGTTCCACAGTCCTCCCGCCCTTCCCGCGCCTGGTCTCCCCCCCTGGCGCTCCCGATGTCGTCTTCCGCTGCGGCGCTCGCGTGGCGCCGCACCCTCCGCGACGCCCTCCTGCGCGGCTCCGCGTGGCGCGGCGCGGCGCCCGCGCGGTACGCCAGCACGGCCTCCGCGTCCGGCGCGCCGGCGGAGGCCGCAGACGCAGCCGCGCCGAAGAAGGTGCCCCCGCCACCCCGCAAGGTAACAGCGCTCGCTCCCGCCGCCACCGTCTCCTCGGCATTTGGACATACACTTCACGTGCCGTGATCTTGCTGAGCTCCCCCCGTTCTCCTTCTCAGCAAAGCTGGCTAGCTAGCATGAGGAGCGGTAGCTTTTGAGTTGGTGGTCTGCGTGCTTCTTATTTTTGTCTTGCCACTTTTAGCGGCCCTTACTGTGTTTGATGCTGCTGATTCGTTGCATGTTTTATGCTGCCTTAATCCATTGTCTTAGGAAAGATGTCTTTTCGTTAAACCTTTTTGCCACGGTTTTTTACCATCTGTCTTGACATGGACATGATGTGATACCAAAACTAGCTCTTATCAGTAATTTTTTAGTACAACAACAGTATAGGGCTGACTCTTCAATCAGGGAGTCTGAACATGTTACAAAAAAAAAAGTGATCTTTCCAGCAATGCCAATCAACTGAAAAACTTAATGCATTCCTTGCTGTGAAAGATTTTGTGAGGTCTCAATCATAGATTGGATTTAATTAAGCAGGCAGCTAAAAAAACTTCATGAATTAACTGTGATTTCTTCCATTGCCCATTATTTGGGTTTTGCTTCATTTTTTTTGTGTGGTTATTTTCACTGTGGCAGGGAAGGCTTTTAACTGGGGCCATGATAGCGTTGGCCATTGGTGGAGGTGCTTATGTGAGTACCGCAGATGAAGGAAAGTTTTGGTGCGTGATATTGAGCTCTTGACTATTAATTCTCTAGAACGGGTTTTATTTGGAATATAGTGGAACCACCCCCTTATGTGCTTGAAAAACTGTACTAACTGGTATTTTTGAAAGCTCATTAGGCTGTAGCCAATGAGTTATTAATTGATTACCCCTTCACTGAACCCCTTCTGGTCGTGCAGCGGCTGGTTATTCAAGTCGACAGAACTCGTGAACCCACTATTTGCACTGCTGGATGCAGAGTTTGCTCATAGTTTAGCTGTTAAAGCTGCTTCCCATGGATTTGTTCCAAGAGAAAAGAGACCTGATCCACCAGTTCTTGGGCTAGAGGTCTGGGGAAGGAAGTTTGCAAACCCAATTGGTCTGGCTGCTGGCTTTGATAAAAATGCTGAGGCAGTTGAAGGTCTCTTAGGCATGGGATTTGGATTTGTGGAAGTTGGCTCTGTGACACCTCTTCCTCAAGAGGGAAATCCCAAGCCTCGAATTTTCAGATTAAAGGAGCATGGGTAAGCATTTGTGTTTTGTTACTGATATCAAATTGTTCCATGCGAATCAAGTTCCAGAAAATTCAGAATGGTGTAATAATTAGTTACTTATGCTGCTGTTTTCTTTGCTTCCCTTAAGTGCTGTAATCAACCGATGCGGATTCAACAGTGAAGGAATTGTAGTTGTTGCTAAGCGTCTTGGGGCACAACATGGTAAGCGGAAGATGGAAGAAACTTCAAGCTCCATGCCTCCCTCAACCAGTGACATAAAGCAAGGAGGAAAAGCAGGACCTGGAATATTGGGTGTCAATCTTGGCAAGAACAAGACTAGTGAAGATGCTGCTGCTGATTATGTGCAAGGGGTTCATACATTGTCACAATATGCTGATTATTTGGTACCCGTCCTTTGCACATACTAATTTCAGACTATAGTTTTGCTATTTCCGGTTTCATATGAGCTGTAGGTTCAGATAAATTCTGTTGTTAGAACCGTTGCATTTATTCATTTTATGCATTCTCATTTAGTTTTGCCTGATAAACAGAATGTCTGAACATTTTCTTTTTCAACCTGATCTTGGTGTCCATTGGTCGAACAGTCACAGGTGCATGATCGAGTAGAGAATTAATGCTACTTAAGTACACTTTGGTCACGTTGTTGTGTCTCAGCATGAAATATCGTGAAGTTTGATGGATTTTCTGGGTGGACAATAATGTTTGGACCTTATTTAATTGTGAGGCATGCTTCTACTCTTAATGAAGGTCATAAATATTTCTTCCCCAAATACTCCTGGTCTTCGCAAATTACAAGGTAGAAAACAACTGAAAGATCTTGTGAAGAAGGTGGGTAGCTGTTTTAACTGAAGTGTCTTCGCTACGTTAGCATGGGAAATCTGTATGGCTCACACTGGATGTGCAGGTGCAAGCTGCACGAGATGAGATGCAGTGGGCTGAAGATGGACCTCCACCATTGCTTGTGAAGATTGCACCAGACTTGTCTAAGCAGGATCTTGAGGATATTGCTGCGGTGACATATTGAACTTAGCCTTGTTCTACAGACTTGTACATCATATAATTGAGAATCTTATGCCTTTTCTTAATGTTTTCCAGGTTGCTCTTGCTCTTAGGTTGGATGGCCTGGTAGGTTAACAATCCTCCCACAACTAATTTTGCCATACACTGACTAGCGTAATCTTGTGTGACTTTCATGCCTATTTGTGCGTCTCTCATATAAATATTGTGCTAATCCTGCTCATTATTTTATCGATGTTGACCAAACAGATTATATCAAACACCACTGTTTCCAGGCCACCACCTGCAGATAAAGATCCATTGGCTCAGGAAACTGGTGGATTAAGTGGGAAACCTTTGTTTGACTTATCTACTAACATTCTCAGGGAGATGTATATGCTTACACGGGTACGTGTGTTACCCCCTATTGCTTTCGCGAAAACTACATTTCTTTGCTTAAGCATCTTTGCACTGCTCAGCAGCTGTATTCTTTTAGTAAAATAGCTAGTTATTGGAGCCTTGTTCATGCACAACTGACGTGTATCTCTTGCAGGGCAAGATTCCCCTCATAGGCTGTGGTGGTGTGAGCAGGTAATGGGATTTCTGTATACTTAACTGAATCTTTTGCACTTTCAATGCACATAATTTCAACCAATCTGTATACTTAATTACAGTGGTGAGGATGCATACAAGAAGATCCGGTCTGGAGCTACACTTGTTCAACTTTATACTGCTCTTGCATATGGTGGTCCAGTTCTTATACCCAGAATAAAGGTTAGTATAAGTTAAACACCATTGTTACATATGAACCTTGCATGTTGTCTTGCATCACTATGTCCTTAATTCAATGTTTTGGAAGAGAAAATAAAAAATGACATTTTCGTAGCCAATACTGTAGGATTCCAAGAAGACATAGGTATATTTTCCAAAGAGCCTCTACTCCATCTAATGTGTGCTGCACTTTACAAGACTCAAATACATTGTTCATTAAGCTAATGATGAGATACTAATAGCTCATTTGCCATTTTCAGGCTGAGCTAGCAGAATGTTTGGAAAGAGATGGCTTCAAATCTGTTCAGGAAGCAGTCGGTGCTGATTTCAGATGATCCTAGCAGATTGCCGAGAAGGCCTGAATAACCGTTCCATTAAGTTCATATGAACTTTTGTGTAAGCATGCTTTCCAGTTTCATTTGGCCGGTACTTTCTTGGGTGAGTGGTACTCATTAACCTAAGCAACGAGCAGCTGTATCACGTGCCCATACATGAGCTTTGGTTTTTACTTGCCTGGGTTCCAAGCAAGGTGTACAACAGATTTTGGTCAAAGTTTGTGTATATTTTATGGTGTCCTTTTGAAAGATAAGTTTTGGTTTGATGCATTAGTAGCTCAAGATGGCTTTGAGGTACCCTTACCCTGATATATCCGAAATTGCAGTTTGACCCATTGTTAATCCTCGAAATAAATGTGTTTCCTTTGTACTGCACTGCATTAACATGTCTGTATATTGTTTCCTAACTTAATGATAAGGCAGTTCTTACTTGTCAGTTTTGAGTAAGCAACGTATATGGGGGGCTTTAATTGGATCGTCAGTCATCTTTTAGTTGCTCTCTTATTACAGGATAGTAGGATGAAATATCTGTACACCATGACTGCAAGTGAGCCTCTGTGCAAGTCTAAGAAAGCATCATGAAATGTGTGATGATGTCCTTCCAGCTGAATCGCAACTGATCGTTCATTAGATGCTCGACCATATATCATCTACGATTATAAAATAAAAAAAAATGGACCAGACTAGCTTTCATCGTTTGGTTCCTCTCATGTCACTTAATATTGGGGATGAGATATCTAAATATCATGATGGTGCAAGTGCCCATAATTCCCCACTAAAGCTCATTTGAAATGTCTCCCATTTATATAGAAGTCTAAGAAACACATCATGCATCGATAAGCCTGTTCGTTGGTTGGTTTCTGGGCTGATAAGTCTGGCTGGTGCTGGTTTGTTGTGAGAGGAAAACACTGTTGGCTGGCTGATAAGCTCTGCCTGAAACCAACAAGCGAACAAGCTGGAACTAAGCTGACCAGTGACCACCCCTGCTGCATGTGCATGAACATGATCCTGGACTTCAACTACAGGGTTGGTAAGGTGTCATGTTAGCTGCTGCTGCTCACACTACACATCCACACTCAGCCTGTTCGCTTGCTCGTAAACGAACGTAAATTTCCAGCCGGGAACAGTGTTTTTCTCTCACACTAAACCAGCCAGCAGTAAATAATCCACGATACGATACGGCCTCCCAAACAGGCTGACTATCATTAGCTATTTATGTAAATAAAATATACTGCTAGTGTGAGGTCTACTGGCCCCTGGTGGTTGATAGATTTTGTTTATCATTGAGCACTTGTCGTGTAGTACCCATGTAATAGCCTACTAATAGCGCAGCATCGAGCCCCACAACAACGAGGTCGAGCCTCTCTTTAGGGCCTGTTTGATTTTCATAAGTTAGGTGACTTATTAAGTTAGGTGACTGAAAACCAGTGACTTATAAGTCATGTCTGTTTGGTTGTAGATGACTTATAAGCTCATTAAAGATGTGGGCCCTATACAAAAAAGGGTGACTTATAAGTTATAAGTAGGGGTAAACTAACTTAAAACTTATAAGCAGGGGTGACTTATAAGTTAGTGGTGTTTGACAAAATAAATCATTTTTTTTTATTTTTTAACTTATAAGTAGGTGACTTATTTAGAACCAACGTACCCTTAGTCCCCGTCCATTCGTCGCCACACGACTGATGTTGCTTGTCCATCTCTAATCCATTCCGTGGCGCGTCAGCATCGACCAAGATTGGTTGTTGTTACTCGTGTTCTTTTGCAAATTTTTCTGTCTACCAGTGCTAATCTTCAGATTGGCAACATAATGTAATCCCCATGTAATGTAACCTACCGGTCAGTGGCACTGTTGCATCTGAATATTTTACCGCGGGTGGGTTAGTGGCACCCATATTCTTTTCTCCGTGTGTGAAGGGAAGGGAGCACCTGCTCTGCTCTTCCTCGAGTTTCCCTTTCCTTTAACGGACTTTCCATGGCTTTTGGCCGCCCAGATGACGTGATGGAGCCTGGACCGCTCTGCCTGCTGCTTCGTGCTGGGTCTCTGTCGCTTGCTGCTCGCCACTTGTTGCTGCGTTGGTGCGGCTTGACTCTTCTGAAACTGCAAGACGGCTCTTGTAGTACTCGTACATTTCAGTTCACAGACCACCTAAACAAAACATTAAAGAAACAGCAGCAGCAGCAGCAGAAGAAGATTCTTCTCGAGACAGCATCGTCCAAAAGCTGACGATCTGATGCGTGCTTGGCAACCTCAGGAGTCAGGCCTCCCGAACTCTGGAATTCAGATGCTCTGGAACTTGGAAGCTGCCTCCTCCTCGCATGTTTGTTACTTTGTTACTACCTCCGTCCCTAAAAAAAAATCACAGTTCTAGCATAGTGCCATGTTTTAGTGATCAATTATAAATAAGGAAAGTATCAATGTTTATGATACCAAATAAAAATTATCAGATTAATTGGATAATGTATTTTCATAATAAATTAATTTACAACCATAAATATGAATAATATTCACTAAAAAACTTAGGCAAACGTGAATAATTTTTCGTGTACACGTAACCCATAGTTGCATTTTTTTTCACGTTAGAGGTAATACTAATAACGAAATTCTAGCAGAATACCATCAAGTTTTTTCTTTTTTTCACAAAAACATGTTCGAAACTCAACAGTTCTACTCCTATGTCAAATCTATGAAATTTAAAGGGACGCGACAGGTCTGTGCTATAGATGGAAGTGCTACCTCTCCATCTCACCCTTTTCGCTGGTCATCATAGATTCCTACTCAAACGACAAAATTTGATATAAGTGGAATGACAAAAAAAAAAGAACATCAAAGTATCCCATGGAACGTCTATCCTGCAAAAGGATGCAATTTTAGTGTAGACCTTAGTCAGAACATCTAAAGTTTGACAAAAATTTATAAAAAAAATAGGAATATTTATGACACTAAATATGTATATAAAAATATTACATGATAAATATTATGATACTTATTTAGTACTATAATCATCTCAACTACTCCCTCCATTTTGAAATACAGGGCCGCTGTATTAGTATTAGTATTAGTATTAGTATGCAAAAAACATTGTAAACTTTGACCATCAGTTATCATATACAGTACTGGGTAGTAAGAGAAACTAGTGGTCAAAATATATCTTGAAAGACTTACTCAGATGTTTAAAAAAAACAGCAAGCCCTAATGCGCATGCAGGTTACAAAAAGAAATGGAGTGTACTCGTTATCGTTATCATCATTCAGAGCTTGCTTGTCCGCTCCGCGGGCACTGCGCGTGGATGGCTGGAACGCCCGCGGTGCATCTTTCCACTCCCCAAAGCTCATTTGTAATCTGACGATCGCAAGTTGTTTATCTCTCGGGCCGCGTGCACACGCCACGGGGCAAGAGAGCTGACCTCGCACCGCTACGCGCGCGATCCAGGCTAGAGTTTCCAGCAAGCTAGCCAGAGCACTCGCGTTCCGGACGGACGACGGCCCCTTCGATAGGAAGCGAACAGCTTGTTCGGCTGGCTTTAAGCTGGCCGGCTGGCTTGTTTTTTCTCTCACGAAATCACTGTTCATATCATGCCAGAACAGTATTTTTCTCTCACAACAATCAGCCGGAATAGTATTTTTCAGTCCTGCCGAACAGGCCCGAAGTCGTCGTGCTGCGGCCTGCGGCCTGCGGCCTGCGGCGGCGGGCTTGGCAGGCAGCAGCAACCAGACACGCCGTGGCTTTGGCGTCGGATCGATTTGACCGGAGGCGCTGCTACTGCTAGCTGGGGCCTGCCGGCGCGCGCCCGGTCGGCCGCTAGTGGCCAGTGGCGGCAGCAATTGTGCTCCACAGCTGTGGCCGCGCTCTGCGCGTGCGTGCGGGGACGGGTCGGACAGCCCTGCCCCCGGCCCGGCGGCCCCCCCGGATATGGATAAGCTAGGCTCGCGCCGCGGACAAATCCAGAGCAGGGCTCCCCTGCTGGCTGCTGCTCTCCGCTCCGCCCCGGCCGGCTCGCCGGTCGTCGCCGCGCGCACGACCCTCCTGTCGGGCCTGCTGTGCGCCCGTGAACAACGACCTGCGTTACATGCGGCTCAGGCTCTGAAAAGTGGAGAGAGAATCCAAGATGTTACTTAGTACGTTACAAACACGACTGAGGTGCCTGCCGTGCGTGCCGACGCGGCGATAGCGAGGCGGTGACTGGTGACAGGCTGACAGTTCCATGGACCTCGTCGTGACGGGCCGGGAAGGGATGTCGTCGAACCCGGCCGGCCGAATCGCCGTCGGCGCCTCTGGCTTTGTTGGCTCGCGCACGCGCCGCCGGTCCATGAGGACCTCGTGGTGTAGCCTCTACGACCAGGTAGGCCCGTGACGGCCGGCACGCCGCAAGCAACGCATGCCGGGCGGCTAAAGCTACTGTGCATACAAACCGCGGACAACGCTAGACAACTTTGTGTGCACTGTTTGTATGATATGATGCTGCTTTTTTAAACAAAGAAGAGAGAGAGAGACTGTTGATGGTCTGAGCAGGGGTTCACAATCTGTGACTGTGACACATTGTGATGCTGATACGTTTCGGCATTTCTTTAATTCTTGTGCACGCACGCACTTGCTGCACTGTATAACAACGCCCCCTGGATTCGACTCCTCTGCTTCAAGCAAAACCCACTAAACGAGCAGGCATTCCATTACCGTCAGCTAATGCCCACGATCCTGCAGGGCCCAGCAGGCATTAGCATTTACCAGCAAAAGTGAGGATCGGAGTGAAAGAATGATTAGCGTGGCCAATGCAACCCCACATGCAGATGCCGATGCGACAACGCCAAAACGTGCGGTTCGGGGGCCAGGGCAGACCGGCAGGCGCGGCAGCCGAATTTTTTACTTTTTAGCCCTTTTTTTTAAAGTTTCTCGCAAATAGATATATGAGGAAAGATTTCAGTATCTGGACCCTTAGTTCGGCGCCATCGAAGCTGGCGCTGAGCTAACACTGGCGTCGAGATCTTGAGCTCGACGCTGCCGTGGTGCTGATTTGGCGTCGAGCTCGGTGCCGTATATCCTGGCGCCCAGCTTGGCGTTCGGCGCCGGCGCCGAGGTGCTGTACATCCAAATACTGTACGATGTAGGAGTATCGCCTGCAGAGCTCTCGAGAGCCGGGACTCTCACTTTGTTCGCATTGTTGGTTTCAAATAAATTTCAAACCAACCGATAATAATGTTTTCTGTCAAAAAACCAAAGACCACCAAATTTAAAACCAAAGATCATTCCCGACCAAATGAACAACAGTCCTCTGGAAGAAAACCCATGCAGTTTCAGAAGCAGGACGGGGCTTTGCCGGGCTGGCTGGACAGGACAAGTCATGAGAAATGGCGCGAGCAAACAACAGACAAGGGTTGAATTCGTGCCTGCCTACTCGTACGCTACTGTCGAGCTAAGCTAAGCTAGCTAGCTGGACGCATCAAACTTTGTGGCGCAGCAGACGTGGTAGTTGAGGGAGGTGAAATGCGATGCTGCTACACTAGTCAGCACTGAGAATCGGCACGGTAAATGCGATGCACATAGGCCATGGGTAGGCCTATGGGTGTCATAAAAAACTGGTAGCATTCATCCACAGGAGGGTTCTTGTGTGGCAAAAAAAAAAGTATATGTATCGTATGTCCATGAACTTGTGTCGTGGTGTTAGTTAGGTCATAAACTCTCTAATCGTACGTCTGAAATCCTAATGTTATTTAAGCATGTCACTTTGGTCCATAACTCATCGGATCAAGGTTTTTGCCGACGTGGCAGGGATAGAGCGCACATGAGTGGTCATGGCGCATGCTGCATGCGGCGGCGGACGTGGACGTGGACGTGGACGTGGTCGCTCTGCTCTGTCACCTCTACTAGGCTGCCTCCTCGTCTTCTCGCTGCTCTGCCTCCGCGCCGTCGTCTGCCGCGCACAGGAGCCGGGGCACGGGCAGCTGCAGCCCAGGAGGGCAACTCGCGGGAGCAAAAGGAGCTGGCGTTCCAGGAGGAGCAAGGAGCTGGCGTTCAGCAGGGAGGCCCGCATCTACCAGGGCGCGATCCAGGTCTCCCCGGACACCGGCAACGTCGGCAGCTACCAGGACATCATGGTCAACAAGTCCGGCTCCGTGCTCCTCCAGCGCCGCTTCACCATGTGGCGCCGCGTCGACAATGGCAGTGGCAGTGCCACGGCCCCGCGCGTCCAGGTCGTGTCGTTCAACAGCACCTTCTCCATCAACGTGTTCCACCTCCCGGACTCATCGTCGCGGCCCGGCGAGGGGGCTCACCTTCGTCGTCGCGCAGTCCCGCGACGAGCCGCCCCCCGACAGCTACGGCGGCTACCTCGGCCTCACCAACGCCACGCTCGAGGCCAACCCAACCCCGGCGAGGAACTGCTTCATGGCCGTCGAGTTCGACACCACGAAGCAGGACTACGATCCCAGCGACAACCACGTCGGCTCTGTCGTGTCTGTCAAGGTGGCAGGTGCCCGGCCCCGTACACCGCGAGGTGCGCCAGTGAGCCCGACCGCTGCACGTACGCCGCGAGCTCGCCGGCATCCGTCCGCCACAGGCGCACAGGCCGTCCCAGCGCACCCTGGCCAGCCACGCCTCCATGGACACGACGCCGTCCCGGAGGTTGCGGACACCCTGGTACAGTAGCACGCGGGTTGTGCGCCGCCCCCGTCGCAGCAGCGACTCCACTCTCCACCTGCGGCCTCATGTTGCGCATCACGTCGCCGCGCCCACCGCGCATCGCTGCACTCCTGCCACGCCACGTCCCCGCGCGCGCCCACGCCCGCTGCTTCGCGAGGTCGTACAGCGTGGCCAGCCCCGTCATGTTCTGTAGCCGCGAGCCCGCGACAGCACCCACCCGTGCGCTTCCGCTGCCGCGACCCACCACCGCGCCACCAGCGTTAGCGTCGTGGACCAGAGCCTCGGTGTCGACGAGTTCGACCACGACGAGGCCGGACGCCTGCTGCTGCTCCCGCTGGCGTGTAGCAGTCCCAACCCGGGTCAAACCAGGCTCACGCGTGTTTCACGTGAGCTCTGTCCCCGCCACGTCGGCAAAAACCTTGATCCGATGAGTTATGGATCTAAGTAGCATATAGGTCTAAGTGGCATACTTAAACAACACTAGGGTGACAGAAGTACGATTAGAAAGTTTGTGGACCTAAGTGGCACCACGAGACAAGTTCAAGGGCTTCGATGCATATACCTAAAAAAACAGAATTTGGCTTGGAAGCAAAATAAAAATGCTAGACGTAAATAATGGAAGGCAAGATAGGGTGCTGTACACTAAACATCTGGTTGTCCAGCAGGCTATAGTGGATCACAAAAAGGGGACAATTTCCTACAAACTCGGATAAATCTTTGTGTTTTTTTTAAATAACTGAATAAACAATATTGAATCAACATTTTAATAAGAAAAATGGTCCACAACATGTAGCAAAGAAAGCCACTACCTGCAGCACAATTAATAATAGTGCCTTTTTTTTTACTCACTGTGCTGTGGCCATTGATAACTAGACATCTAAGAAAATGATTTATGAGTAAAGATATCACCTATATCTTGATAGACACCACAACTTTGTGACAAGAAATTTTACATTTGCCATCCAGAATAGGTTTCAGAATTATTACTGGTTTACGTAACACTGACGTCAAAAAGAACATGGCAGTTTTGCTTCAAGGAGTAAAGGTTACCCACGTTCCAACATGCTGGAGAGGCTGTGTGTCGTGAACAATTCATTGAAGCTTGTGAGGTCGAAAAGGCAACTTATTCAATAACTTTTCTCCATTTGGTCTTCTTGATTCAGCAATACCAGCAAGAAAGAAGTTCCTCCCAATGTTCATTAGCCTCTATGCTTGTCTGACATTCTACAAATTTGAAGGAAAATTCATAAGTTCCCCAAATAGGCATCAATCAAATTGATGGCACTCGCAATGGAATGGCAACTGCTTTTAGTAATCAAATGCAGTTTCCATCATCTGGTAAACTCTAGATCATGACTTAACTCTTTGAACTGAATCCAAGGACTTAACACCAGCAACCTTGAGGCTATCATTGATATTGTCCAGTGGCTTTCAAACCTGACAAATACCTTTTTACATCACTACTAAACCATAGGCAGATCAAACATGGCAACAATACATGATTCATTATCCTATAGGATTGTCCATAAATATGAGGCACTTAACAATTGTATGCTAAGGAGGTACTAGAACTATATTTTACATATTGGTCTTATTCGCTTGTCTTATAATCCGTACTTTTCAGCTTGTTTTTTCAGCTGGAACAGTGTTTTTCTTTCACAACAAATTAGCTGGAACAGTGTTTCGGCTTGTTTTTTCAGCGAAGCGAATGGGGCCATTGGGCGGTAGACAGGTATGTACGCTCTGTTCGTTTGGGCTTGTTTGGCTTATAAGCCATGGCTAAAAGTACTGTTGACTGGTTTGGTGTTACAAAAAAAATATTGTTCGTTAGCTGATAAGCCATGGCTTATAAGCGAAATACGACACAGTGATCAAACTGGTGGTTACTGACACTGCATGGACATAGTGTCGTAAGTAAATTTGAAGTAGCTATATAATATACAAACACCAAGTTGAGCGACCAAGGTTCTAAGTAGGTTGAGGTGTTTTTTTTTCAGGCGCCGTTGCTATGTACAGAGGGCTGAGTGCAAAATAAAATCTTGCGTGTGGGGAAAAATGGTTAAGCGAACGTCTTGTTCCGTGGCATCACTCCCTCTGTGTCATAAAGGTAGCAATTTTGTTGAGTGTAAAATTGAGGGAGTAAGAGAGACGGTTTCAGTTTATGCCGGTTCTGTTCAGTGTGTAATAACAGATTCTGTTTAGGCGCACACATGCAGCTGATTTCATTGAATCAAACTTGAAGGTACAGAAGTCATCATGAATATAGATACGAAGAAATAGGCAGCCATACCTTAGTCTGTGTTTAGTTCGCGAAATTTGAAAATTTGGCTACTATAGCACTTTCGTTTTTATTTAGCAATTAGTGTTCAATCATTGACTAATTAGGCTCAAAACGTTCGTCTCGCGATTTCCAATTAAACTGTGTAATTAGTTTTTTTCGTCTACATTTAATGTTTCATGCACGTATCATAAGATTTAATGTGATGACTACTGTAGCATTTTTTAGGATTTTTTTTTAAACTAAACACAGACTTAGAAATAAACTGGCAATCAAAATATATGTGAACCAAGAAAGGAGATCCTTCCAACTGTTCAATTGATGCTGCGTATCACCGGTGAATATTGAATCAGACTTGAAGGCATCGCATTTACCGTGCCGATTCTCAGTGCTGACTAGTGTAGCAGCATCGCATTTCACCTCCCTCAACTACCACGTCTGCTGCGCCACAAAGTTTGATGCGTCCAGCTAGCTAGCTTAGCTGGACAGTAGCGTACGAGTAGGCAGGCACGAATTCAACCCTTGTCTGTTGTTTGCTCGTGCCATTTCTCATGACTTGTCTTGTCCAGCCAGCCCGGCAAAGCCCCGTCCTGCTTCTGAAACTGCATGGGTTTTCTTTCAGAGTCCCGGCTCTCGAGCGCTCTGCAGGCGATACTCCTGCTTCGTACAGTATTTGGATGTATAGACACCTCGGCGCCATGGACACTGGCGCCAAGTTCGGCGTCACAGCGCCGAGCTCAGTGCCCGTATATATGGTACCGAGCTGCCTACCAAATCAGCACCACGACAGCGTCGAGCCCAAGATCTCGGCGCCAGCAACGATGACGTCGAGCCCAAGATCTCAACGCCAGCATCGATGACGCCGAACTAAGAGTCCAGATTCCGAAATCTTTTATCTAGGAGTCTATTTACAAGAAACTTAAAAAAAAGGCTAAAAAGTAAAAAATTTACGCGCGGCAGCAGCAGACGAGCAAGAAGGATTCGTCGAATCGAAATCGAGAAAACATGGCCATGGCATGATGGCGGGACGGGGCCACGGCCGAGCCAGCGGGGCACCCCTCCATTCGCCTGGCCGCCCGGCCGCCCGTCCGTCCGCCGGAAGCGACCAGACCAACAGTCCACTTCCACCATGGCAGTGGCCCCGCCGACTTGGCAAATTGCATGGAATTGGACGGGGCGCACCAGCATTCGCAGCATCTTAACGCCTAATACTGTCTCCAACAAAAAAAATACATATGGGCATCTAAATCTAAAATGCGTAGTAAGAGACCTAAAATCAGTCTTTAAAATAATACCTATACAAGAGATCTATTTTGGGTTGTCTGAGAGGCAAAACCCAAATATGGACATCATCTCTCCTAAAAACCCATTTATAGAAAGGATTATCTTTTGGATCTTGTTGTTGAAGAAGATACCGAATAAGTATTAAACCTTTTACCTGTAGCGCTACCCAAATGACGAATGGATGTTGTATTTTGGTTGTTGCGGTTGGAAATAGCCTAAGCAAACATCCGATCACCCGTCCGGCATTTTCCTTTTCCTCCCAAAGTCCCAATGATGACGGGCGGCCCTCGCCCTGCTGCCCCGTCATCGTCGTGCAGCCTGCAGTGCAGGGATCCGATTCGATCGGCTCGATCCGGCGGATCGGAGGCAAATATCTCTCGTTAAACAAAACCGCCTGCAAATCCTCGAGGGGCCCCGGCTCGAATTTGAAATTCCACGAGACTTTGACTGCCGAACGCACAACTGCACTGCACTGAAATTTCGCTCCGGTTCCGGTCGTTTGCCCTTGCTAGCTAGCATCCACTGATCCATTGGCGATTGGCGTTGGCACGCCCATCTATCGGCCATCGCTTTCGCACAGATCTCCTCCCGTCAGCACAGTGTTTAGTTCCCCTTGAATAACTGATAAACATCCTAATAGCCCATAAACAAATGCTCGAGCAACACATCACACCAACAAGCTAGCAAGTGCACAACTTTCACAAGGCAGTCAGGCAGTCAGGTAGCCAGAGGCAGGGAGGATGAACTGAGTCCGTGCCCGGTCGTCATAGGAGAAGAAGGTGGAAAGAGAAGCAGGGCCGGGCCAGGGCATGCACGATCGCACCGGCCATGGGAAAGATAAGGGATGATTAAGACTGAAGAGCCCCCACCACACCACCCGCTTTATTCAGTTGCTGTTGCTCCGCGCTCAAGCTGATGGGGATGCCTGCCAGGGCCCATCTCTCTCGAGTTGGTCAGGTTTTTCAAATTTGAATTTGAAAGTGATGCGCATGCGCGTCTCTAGTTTATTTGAGGCTGGGTCAGTTCTCAGTTCTTGTGGAGCAGTACATATGTTCAAAGTGTGCCACCTGTCCAACACTGATGATCTCTTTTTAAATGAATCCGACGACACGAGAAATCCAGACTGAGCAACAATACAACAACACATCCTCGGAAAAAAAAAACAATACAACAACACAAGGATCCCAAAGAGTCCAACGACAACGCAACGACGATGTAAAGGAATAGCCGGAACAACTATCATCACCATTGATTTTGATCGAGTTTGCTATATTATCCTTGTACCCTTTTGGACTCATGTACAGTACTGGTACTGTATATTTGTATGTATTACGAGCTGTGGAGCAAGAACTTGCTGTTGTGGTTTTGTTTGTTTAGGTGTTGGTAGATGGTACTAGCAAGTCTCACTTTTATCACCCCAACAAAAAGGGTGATTAAAACTTGT